GATGGATGCGAAGACGAATAGAACAAGTAATTATGCGAGTCTGTAGGTTTGTAATACACACTAGTGCATAAACCGTTGCCTTCAATTGAAACTTTGATGTCTAAAAAGGATAAAGAATTGTCAGAAGTTTCCCAGGTATATTTCAGAGCCGGGTGAAAAGAATTGACTGCGGTTATGAATTGAGTCAGCTCCTCTCTGGTATAGGAGGTGGCGCCGATACAGTCGTCGATGTAGCAACCGTAGAGTTCAGGTTTGGAGTCGTTGTATTGGCTGAAAAATTGGTGCTCGACAAAACCTACAAAAGAAATTGGCATAGCTAGGTCCCATTTTGGTGCCCATGGCTACAGCATTGGTTTGTTTGAAAAAGTTGTCCCCGAATTAAAAACAATTGAGTGAGTTTAATAGGGTTGATCTGAGTTTAATAGGGTTTTTTTGATAGGGTTTTTTTAATAGGGTTTTTTTTTTATCCGAGTTTAATAGATTCATGAGTTTAATAGGGTTGATCTGCAACTGGACAGAAATTCAAGGGTGGTTGTCGGCCATTAATTTAGCTCCCAGCTTACAAAACAACTCCTCACCCCTCCCTTCACACTGCATTAGCGTTATGGAGACCATAACTTTTGAGTCCAACTGTTTGAACTCTCTTCTACCCTTTTTGAAGAAGCGGGTTCGAAGACGTAAGATTTACAACTTGCCCGACTCGTGTTGATGGAACTCTATTTCAATGCGAATGTCCCCTTTGTAATGATATTTGGAAAACGGGCTCATGTAATTATCCCGCATTTTCATTGCTATGCGTTGTTCCTTTAAATTATCTAGCGTAAGCAAATTCTTTCCAAATTACTATTTTCTATGAGTTTCTCGCCATTTTTTGGTTAGCATTTTTCTAATTCAAATCCAAACTCTCCAATTCATTTATGCTTGTAAGATGGTTTTACGTAACACGGGGAAGCAAAGAAGACAAATGAGCCAAATAAATGTAACTGATACACAAAATATCCAATCTGCTGGCTTTTAATTTATCATAAATTTATTTTTGTTTTTAATCTACTAATTTCTCCATTAACTCTGCATTCAACCATCTATTTATCCTTCTATCCATTTATAAGCAACAAATTTAAATGTTAGATGAGGTTGCTTCTATTACATTAACAAGATACTACTTTAAAAAAGTTGTTTATCCACTCAGTACCTAATAGGTCACATATGAGATATTAAACCATCCTGCAATGAGTTCTAAAACTCAACGCACATGGATTGAAAGAGGCAATTAAATGCATGTTATAATTAAACACAGTGCTAATTAAAGAAGAATGAGTGCTAACTTCATTACATAAATTCCCGGCACGTCTAACGTAGATTCCAGTCTTCTTCGAAGGTCAGTTATTAGCAGAGCAGCTATGCTAATGTAAAAAGAACCAGGAACGATAACTTCTAGATTAGTTAGCTACGACGACTAGAGCCTTTGTGTGGACAACTCAGCCTGCTACTAAACAAACGTTCAGGAAATATACAATCATATAAGCAACCCCACTTTACCTACAGATTAAAACTCAGATCCGAGGCATCCAGTTTTTTGCTTTTAACCAAAAGATCGTAATGAACGATCAATGAGCATTGCCTGATGGTCGAGTCCAGTTACCTAATTACAGCGCAACTTCGGCTCAAGATTACTGCGAGACTGCAATTCAACTGCCCGTACATCGCCAATTTCACTTGAATTGACATGTAGGCTCTTCCTTGTAGAGTTGTCCTCATTTAAAGACGTAAAAACGACGTTGATCTTTCTTTTGAGTCGCTCTCTTATCTGCAGATAAATAATCAACATACAATATGTTTCGTGGCATTCAAATAGTTATTAATCCTTAAAACACCGCGCTGTGATCTACACTACTTTTAATCTCGAGTTGTTGCTGTTGTTTTTTTCTTACCTGAGTATTTCGCAAGCCGTGAAGAACGAAAATCAGGAAACCCTATGACGGAAACATGATTTCAATATCATTATTATATTACAATATTCCATCCAGGTTATAAGCAGCGGAGGGTACGTGGTTAGGGTATATCCATACACATGGCGTAAAATAACGTTACGTCAAATATCTAATGAGGCTGCCATGAATATGAAAAGATAAATAATAGGGAAGAAATACTGCTTTGTAAGAGAAAAGTTAAGAGGTAAGATTTTTTTTTTTAAATTCACTCTTAATTTATTATGGTAAAGGTGTCTCACTCTGGCTAGAACTGAGAAAATAAAACAATCTTGATTGGTTTTGAAAGTTTCCATCGAACACTCACCTGAGTAGAGTTGAGTATTGTGAAAATGTATGCAAAAGCTTTATGCACAGGCGAAAGAAACCCAAATAGCCAAGTGACACCCAGTAAAGGAATCATCACAACGGATGCTTTGATACCAAGTCTGAGAGAAACAACAATTAAAAATACAAGTATGAGAGTTGATTAATATTTTTTTCGCAGTGTTATTTTTAGGTATCGTAATGTCAAACTGAAGTGAGGAAGCCAGGTTAATAAAGCCGTAGGTTAATATCGCCGGGTTAATATCGCCGTAGGTTAATATGGGCAGGTTAATATCGCCGTAGAATATGATATATTAACATGCTTCGGTCACTTTGTTTAAATTTATGTTGTGAATCCTACCGTATTTGCTGAAAATGGTTGTCTTCTGCTGTTGGCTGTACCAAATTGGTCATCTCTTTTATGACTCGCACGAGTATCAAGATGTTGAGCTATGAAAAGCACAATAAAAATAATTTGAGTTGCAAAATGAGTAAGTCGAATTGCCAAGGCAAGAGAGAATCATGTCTTTCAAAACACGTTATTCATTATTGGTAACGAGGGTCGCAAACGGAAAAAAAAAAAAATATATATACTGCAGTTAGATATAGCTCTTTGGCATACAAAGCTTTGCTTTCATGTCCAAATTGAGCACTCTATCTAGGATGAGTCATTGCCGTTGCAGTTGCGCATGCTCGCTAGTTTACTCTAGTTTGAGCACTCTGGCATGGCTTAGACGATACCACAAAGGTTGGGTCGTTTGGGGTGACCGTCTCGGTTCTCCCCCATCCTAGCATTAGCACTGCACTGATGAGGCCCAGAAGGCCGAAACAGTACTGTCTGATTAGTTCATGGGGTATAGAACTCCCGAACTGAGGACGTTGGTTACGCCCCTGGATCCATTGGGCTAAAGAAGTCGCAGATAAAATGATCAAACCTGAAATTACAACCACGCTAATGGTAGCCTTACGGTCTTAGTCTCCATTTTTTTTTCTTTCCCCATCCTCTCTTTAATTTCAATGTTGTTCAATATGTTATTTTTCCATGCAACATATCCTGGGCGTGTTCAGGTAAAAAAATTGAAATGACATTGACAAGGAAGGATAGAGTGAGATGTTTTTGTTTTCCCTATGTTTGGAGCTACTGTTTGGAGACTTGATGAAGACATTACCTCGACAGGATTTCGCCGCGGCGATTGTAAGAAATGAAAAATGGTAAAAACTGTGTCGGGCCATCCCATTAACAAATGTTTAATTCGTATGGTTACGGTTGAAGAAAAAAAAAAAAAAAAGCTTTGGCAGTAACTTGTCCGGGTACACTAATCACAATTGCAAAAAATAATCATAAACTCACAACTTCAATGAACGCCACAAAGGCAACGAAAATCCAGATCAGATTGTTATTTGAGGATAGCCAGCAACTAAAAGGCGAAAGACAACGGAGAAAGAAACATGTTCAGCATATAGGATACCCTTAACAGGATATGAACGAAACCAAGCAAAACAACAACAACAACAACAACAAAAACACACACGCACAAAATGAAATGAAATGAATGAATAGATAATAGAGAAGAAGGGGAAGGGGAAGAATAAAGCTGTTAACGCATTCCTTACTGTTGGTCACTGATATAGCTTTGTATTCCTTCTTTCCCACCAGCAATCCCAAGGGAAATGGCCACCATGTTCATAGGGAGACCTATTCATAAATTAACACCAAATATGGCGATCAGAAAGCATCTTACTGGTACCAATACATGAAATAAAAAAGAGTAATAAGAATACCCCATGCGATAACGTGATAAATGTGCATCTTGGTGTTGATGTTGTAAACTTTCACAACAAACAGGTAGAGATAAATTCCCTCGACCAGCATCCAGCAAAATGCGGCCATCAGGAAATACTGCATCAGAGCTGCTACCGCAACACAGGCAGCCTGCAAAAAGAAAGTTCACGTATGTTTTTCATTATCCTTCATAAAACACAGAAAAGGCAGTAAGTCGAATGAAAGGATGAAGAAACCTCTCACCGTGTTTTCTGTGGCGTTTATTCCGGCGAGAAACGTTGCCTGTCCAGCTCCGAGTGAAAGACAAAGGCTTATTCGAGTTTGAGATAGAGGTTTAGGGACGTCTCTGGTGAAAATGAAAAGAATAAAAGCAACAAAAACTAATAATGATAATAAAAAAACAAACAAAATAAAATTATAACATAACCAAAATAAAGCGCGCGCTCTGATTGGTCAATTTAGCGTCCCCCATTTGCCCATGGGTGTACGCTGCTGACGTGAGCAAAGACTATTTTTCCGCGCGCGCTTGTTTTTTCTGGTCGCGTAAAAGATTTGTTAAATAAAAGGGAACTCTTTAGCTACAATGTATCAATGTTATGTTATAAAACAAATGGTAAACACCACAGCGTACACTATTGAGTTATGGATGCACGCGGGAGGTTGCTAAGCACGAAAGAAGCGTAAGAGTCGCTCGAGGCGATAGCCGAGAGCGACTCTAGCTTCTTGAGTGCTTAGCAAACCTCCCAAGTGCATCCATAACTCAATAGTGTACGCTGTGGTGTTTACCATTTGTTAATTTAAAAACAAAACAAAATGATGGAAGTCTGTAAGGCCATAGAAATTGACCAAATGGCAAATGGAAAAATATCTAATCTAAAATAAAACCAAATTAATAAGAACCTTAGAATCAAAAGACAACAAAAAAGCCAAGTTGGTAGAGATTAAGTAAACAATGGTTGAAAACGAAGCTCGAAGAAAATTAGTGGGTTATTCGAGCTAAATAACCATAGTTTCAGTGCATCAAAAAGAAACATTTTAGATCACTTATAGTTGCCATTATTCCTAATTTTATTTTATAGTAATTACAATCGACTGTAAGCTGATTAATTAGGACAGTCACCGATGATGAAAGACCTCTATTTAACGAATAGTAAACACACCAGCGTACACTAGTGAGCTATGGATGCACGCGGAAGGTTGCCAAGCTCGAAAGAAGCGTAAGAGTCGCGCGAGGTGATAGTTGAGAGCGACTCTGGCTTCTTGAGTGCTTAGCAAACCTCCAAGTGCATCCATAACTCAATAGTGTACGCTGTGGCGTTCACCATTTGTATATACCATAACATGAATAACTTGTAGCAAAAGAGTTTTCTTTTATTTAACAAACCTTACGTGACCTGAAAAAACGAGCGCACGAGGAAAACTTGTCTTTGCATTTGCTCACTTCAGCCACGTAAACCCATGGGCAAGTGGTGGATGCTGAATTGACCAATCAGAGCTCGCACTTTATAGTACTTTGGTTATGTTATAAAACAATTTGTACTGATTAAGGGTAAATTAAATTAGTTTTATACCAAGGCACAACTAAGAGGTTTTTAATTATTTTTTTGCAGGGAGAACTGAGCTAGTGTGTCGTTTTATCTAACATTTTGGAAGACTGACAAAAGAGCACATTATCAGTTATTTATCATAACTCACTGTACTTACGTAAAGGAAGAGTACAAGGCTATTGTTAAAAATATTCCGATAATAGAAAGGCTTAATCCTACACAGGTAATAATCTCCAACACAGTTTCGTCCTGCTCGGAAAGCTGCGTAGCATGGTATGAAACGAAAATATAGAGAGACGAGTTAGCCACACAAATTTATTACCAGTGCTAGAAATTGGTACAAAATTAATTAATTACCTCCGTGCTATCATTGTAGTCAAATAAGACAGCAAAATGAGTCAAATGATTGCAGCTGCAAACTGTTTCTTCAGAGTTACTTTCCGACGTAACTACATAGCATCCTTTGTCTGAAAATCCGTCGGGGCTGTGAAATAGAAAGTACCTCAGCAGCCAAGATAAGTTAGGAAATAGACAGCCGTTGCGCCGAAAGGGTAAATGACATCCTCAGCCTCTTATATTCATACCCTCAATCACATTCTCGACTGTTTTTGGTTTGAGGGGTCACGGCATTTTCAGTTCCGTGATTTTTAGCTCTGAGCACAAAACGTTGGGTTGGGAAAATACTTTGTTTTGTGAAAGATTCTTAATAGACAAAATTGCATCCTCATATGTGGTTAAGAAATCAAAAAGGATGAAATTCTTGCTAAACGTGACCTTTCTTCGAGTGAAAAAAAAAGAAAAAGAAAAAAGAGACAGCGGCGTCAAATCAGACAATCAGCAACTACAACTAAGGCAATTCCAGATTTAAATTTGCTTCATAGGAAAAAACAGAAGGACTTCCAATGACATTTGACAACTTCGTCGGAAACTTGCCGTGTACCATCAGTCAAAGAGTGATTTTGTCAGTTAATTTTTTTGTCCCTTTTGCGACACCTGCTTTATGGGACTTTCCCTAACGGACAAATATAATATATTTCTTTCAAGCATTTCTGATCCCGGACAAAGTTTTTGACTAAAAATATTTGTCTGAACTATTTACCTAGTATATTGTAAGTGTTACCTCAGTTTGCTGAAGCCGCTCCAAAACATGCACATCGTCAGCCTTTTTTTGATCTGTAAGTAGAATTATTGATCGAGTTGAAATATATGGAAATAACGTATTTTAACTAGTGTTGCTTTTACCTCCAAGTTTCTGAACTTTAAGATTACATTTTCCAGCAGTTTTTCGGGTTTAGGATCCATGGCTGCCATCATCATTCTGGTGCCCACATATCTATGTACAAAATGATACCGAATGTGAACCAGAATGAAATGCAAATATGGTGGTTTAAGGAATATGTACTTTTATAGTTCACCACTAAATTTTTGTCCGATTTTTATTGGTTTAAATTTATTACGTGATGCGATAGTGTCAGAGAGACACTATCAGCCCATAATGCCCGTCCGCGGAAAATACCCCGACGGATAGTAGTCATCCGTAAAAAGTTTTGAATGGTTTCACGGCCGCGAAGTTAGACAGATCGGAAAAAACAGGGACTTTTCAATTCTGACAGGTACTGATATTATTTAGCCAATGTACGGTTGCAAATTATTGACCTTTATGACAGGCTGTACGCACGAATAAATATTTGATTGATCTGCATTTAGTGGGTTTGGACTGCTTTTCAACTGGCGCGCGGAAGAAAATTTAGTCGTGGACAATAACGTCAATAGAGTGTTTATGTTTCGAAACTATGAGCCCTAGTTCCTCGACAGAAACACTCTACTGTTTAAATAGTGACCTTTCTAAACTATTTCTGCATTTTAGCTAATATCTTGCGACGTTGAGATGGCCTTATTCGAAAAGATAACGAAGCCAGTCAATGCCATCCAGGGAACTAGAGCTGACAAAACGTACTTCGCTGGCCACCGGATGAAGATTTTTCAAGTGGACACCTTTATCTTTCGTTTGAAGAAACAGAGCCAGGCGGCTTGAACATGAACTTGTCTATGTGCATGATGTTAGCGACATTATGAAAAGGAAATTTAGGGAAGACAAATTTGTCACCTTGTGTTGCCTGGACTATTCCTGTTGGGTCGATTGTTCGGCAGTAGTTCATGGAGATTCTTGTAAAAACACCCAATAACCACTGAACCTAAAGAAAAAAAGAAGATTCTGATCCGGTCAAGAATTGACCATGAATTTCAAAAGAATGCGGGTATTTGTGGCAAGTAGACGGTTTAAACCAGTGAGTAGTCTTCCGCAAGGAATTATATCAAAACTGTAAACATTTTTCGAGAGGACAATTAAGACGAACTTGATACAAACCATTGTCTGCAAAATTTGAAGAGGAAATGTCGATGCTTGTTTTCCATTCGTGTTCCTCGAGGCATAAATCACTTGCATTTCGGCGGTAAGCCTTTTGAATTCTCAACACTGTCAGAAAAAGAGCAACACGTTTAATAAAATATAAAATAGCACGTTTGAACAAAAAATCATTTGTCGGTGGATTTACGATATGTTTTGGTCATAAAGGGAGGTTTTACACGTGCTGTAATGACTAAGGCTTCTCGCACCATTTGCAATTATCCGTTTCGATGTTTAGGAAAATATCTTTTATTTACTTTCCTTATCTTGATAAAAAATAGGAAAGATGAAATTAACATTCGAAAATAACGCAGGGAAATAACTTATTATCGTATTTAGGCAATAAAGGGTCAATCACTCAGACAGTGATTATCTGAAAAAAGATAATCACAATTTCTCACCCATTTTACCGCTAACGATCTCTTCTGATAGCATTGTTCCCTTCAGGTGTTGCTTGCTATAATCCAGAGCAAATTCCTCGAAAGCGATAGCTACATTAAAGATGGATTCCCTTCCGGTTTTAACCTCGATGATGGTGGAAAGACCCTCAGTAGGTTTAGTCATGTTTTCAAAACGGACGAGGAAGTTTTCAAACACGTTAACAGCCTCCTGCAACCATGTAAACGTATTGATATAATATTCAGTGTATTAATTCATGACACTCGTCTGGGTGCAAGTACTATAAATTTGTTTTATGATAAATAGATAAATAGATCCACACCCTATTGTAGTTCTGCCCAGTAATAGTACATGTAGACCACATGGGACAAAAAAATAACAATAAGAAAAAAATGAGTATTGATGTCCTCACTGCATTTTACGTGTTATGTCGTCCATCCCTAGATAGATGCACAGCATCATGAAAGCTACTTGTTTAATTTGATAAAAAGCAACATGTTATTAATGGGACATCAGCTATGCGTCTTGTCTCCGATACATTATAAGTTTTAACCAATCAAAGTGTGTATATAATCCAGCTCATCGTATATATGTATTTATTAAAAACTGGATCATTGGATAATGCAATACAAGACTTTTTATTGACTTAGCCATTATGGTATATGTGCCAATATACCATAATCTAATATTTGATTATAGTCAACTCGGCGCTACGCGCCTCATTGGCTATCTATTATCTCATATCCAACGCGCGCTCGTGAAAGAATTGTTAAATAGACACCTACATGTAAAAGCACGTCCTACTGTATTTATTATTAATGATGATACATAGCAGTCTTTAATAGAATCAGATACCCGCAAAGAAGTGTTTCTGCTGCTATCAAGTCCGCCAAGTTTGGAGACATAGTCATTTGCCTAAGATAACGAAAATGACAGTTATTTGTATGGACCACTAAGATCCTAAAGTATGGAAAAGTACAAAAAGAGTAATCAATTACAAAACACACCAGCTTTTGAATTGCATTCGAAGGCGACGGAGACGAAGATGGTGATATCGATGATGGCGATGGCAATGGCCACGTCGAGAGCGATAGTGCCAGTGACATCAAAGGCGATGAGGAAGGTTGCAAGCTTATCATTGATGACCTTGCCGTCGCAGGTAAGAGAGATGGTGACGATGTTACTGCTAATACTGCAAAGTTTTCAGAGGAAAAAAAAGGAAAAAGTTTGACTTGTGCCCCAATCAAGTAGTTATACTTATACCAACATTCTCTTATCAAACGAATGTCATTCTCAATTGATAACTATATGAATTTTTTTCTTTTTCTTAAATTTTTGGATATTTTTCCATTAATTTTATAGATAATCCGCTACTTCGCAAATGGAGGACAAATATATGTCGATTGCTTACTTGACTCAATAAATAAATGGTTGAATGATCGAATAACAAGTCCATTGACTTAGTATTTCTGATGCCATCCAAACACTAAGACAAAAGTTAATATTTTTGAAAGGTGCTTTGTCATTACGTATTTTTATTTGCCTTGCACGAGCTTTTCTTGAGAATATAATGCACATATTTACCATAGGTAGTCTGGTTAAGTCCAAAAACTACTGCGGAGACACTTAAACACGCCACCAATAGACAAACTTCATACACCAGGGCTCTTCACATCAATATTTAACGTTAGTTGAGTGTGCTGCTTGCTTATTTGCTTTGTTATAGTACTCACCGGTGATTCTTTCTTTGCAAGTTTGTTTGCAGTTTATCCCCCTGCAGTTTAGATTACACTGATCACCCTCATAGCGGCAAGTATGTTCTGTTCCAAATGTTTGTTCGCCACTTGTCAGATTGCATTTTGTTGTATTGCACCTCGACCAACCCTGATGACTCTCGTTGTATATCGTGTCAGGACAATCAGCTACCAATGGTCTGTAAGCCTTACTACAACTTTTTGCGCAGACTTTGACGGGGTAGCAGTTTGAGGAACAGTTGTTGACGGAGCAGTTAAGATTACAAGTGTAATTGATAAATTCGCAAATCTGAATCCAGCCATTCTTGGTATATTCCAGTATGCAAGGGATTCCAATGTGATCTTGGCAAAAGCCCGAAGAGGAGTATTGATGGTCGACTGAAAACCCTTCAAAAAAGTCATATATTATATACAAAGGAAGTAATCGATTCCAGGGAGAAAACTAGTCGGTCTGTGCAGCAATAATGAAACTATATCCTTTTAAAACGCCACCTTTCCCTTGTGCTTAGTAAATGACTTATTTGGTTAAACAACTTACTCATACTGTACTGTGCAACAGTAATGTAAACGATTATCGCGGTTTATCACGCTTCGTTCTTCCGATATATCGCCGATATATTGGCGATATATCGTTAATTATTTTGACACCTTACAACGATAAATCGACGAGATATCGGGACTTTCTCGCGATGCCTCGTTCCGACGATAAACTATGCCAACGATATATCGTTGCGGTGATATATCGATACAGAGATTATCGTAGAGCGTGCGGTATATCGTCAGGATATATCGCTTCAGTAAAATATCGTTCCAGCGATTTATTGTTGAGTCAGGAATGATTCATCGCCATATTTCGTTCCAGAAATGAGAAAGGAGTCTACATTTCCGATAGTGATATTTTGAAACACAACAGGTCGTTAGCATTTTGAAATATAAAACGTTACTTGAGGATTCCTCACATGCATATCATGCTGGGTACAGTGGCGCATCCAGGGGGAGGGTCCGGGGGGTACGGACCCCCTATCAAACCTGACGCTTACAACTTGGAGACAGGATCGTATATCATTTTAACTGGCTGATTTTTTTAATGAATCCAAATAAACGATAAGCGGCAAAGGAATTATAACTTGCAACCGCGACTGGTGGGAGGGGGTGTGGGGGAGATGTAATTTGCCTCAAAGAGTCCAACAGTCCTTTTTGAACCAAAGTTTGGACCCCCTCCCCCATTTAAAAATTCCTGGATCCGCCTCTAGGGTAGATCGAGTGGTCTACCATAATCGCATTCGCTCTAGAATTCTTTGAGCATTTGGCAGCGCGTTGAATACTTCAATTTTCGGCGGTCAGTCTACGTTATCAAACAGAAAAGAATTTGGGGAAGCTTCCTGTATCGGTTTGTGTAATTTGTCTCCTGAAAAAAAAAATGTTCCAAGGTTAATAGCTTGCCGTTTTTGTTGATTTCTGTTCTTAAGATAACGCCTGTAACAATATGGGAACCAAATACTATCGTATTAATCAAAGAAAAGTCATTACGTTCTATTTGTAACACATTGATCAAAGGTAAGTCTCGTTGTATTGTGTTGAAAGTTAACGAGGGCCATCGAAATAGCTATTACTTGAAAGTTCTAACTATTGCCGACCCTCGCAGTGATTTTGTTGGAATGTTAATTTATCGGATACCAGCATAAGGTGAAGGCAGCAACATTCGATACAAACAACAACAAAAAATTAGAACATAGCTAGCAGAGCCGCGCAATAAAATTCAGTAGACGTAAGCGTGCTCAAAATCCCGATAGTGTACGCTGATATAGCGTGAGCAAATCTCTTCGCCAGAAATTTTTTTTCGCGCGAGTGGCCATTGTTAGCTCGGGGAAAAATAATATACTTCGCGACAATAATGTATACAAACAGAGACTCGGCCTACTAGTACTAAAACGAAGACAAATTTTCGACCTTTTCCCTTGGGCTAGAGCTCGTAAATGAGGCAAAAAAAGAGAAAAACAACGGAAAAGGAGACTCGGCATAAGCGACGTCACGACTCGCTTCAATTGATAATGTTCTCCGTTTTTCGCGTCGGATTTGATGCACAATTCCACCGGCTATGTTCTAAGACAATTGGTTCATGCTTTCAGCTGTGCACTATCGAGTTATGGAGCACGTGGAAAGTTTGGAGAGCACTCAAGAAGCTAGAGTTGCCTTCGGCTATTGCCTCGGGCAACTCTTACGCTTCTTTCGTGCTCTCCAAACTTCCCGCGTGCTCCATAACTCGATAGTGCACGCTAAAGCATGAACCAATTGTTAATTANTTATAAAGAACCGAATAGCATGAGTTCTTGGATTTAAAGAAAATACATCATACGTAATGCACGTTTCTGAAGTAACAGTACGTAGTTTATGATGGGCTATTGCGGCCTTGCTTCAAGCAATGAAACCATATGTAAAGCAGGGAAGCATGAGGGACTGATGTATACTTTTCAAAGTAGAGAAAGGAAAGAGGTGTCTAGACGAGCTATTACTCCAACAATCTTATTAATCTTCACGGCAACGTAGTCTACGTGGTATTTCCTGGAGAGATGTTTGTCAATCAGAACACCTAAGTATTTAATACATTCCTTACATTCTAGACCTGACGATATATTGGTGCTGTTATCTACAACTTTGAGTTAATCTCATAATTGAATAATCACTGTGGAGGTCGAAAGATAGCAAAGTTTTATTTTTAATGTTAAGTGTGAGCTTGTTTGCCTGCAGCCATTGACATACATTTTTCAGCTTATTGTTCACGATCTCCTCGAGGGACTTAGGATGTCTCTCAGCATAAAGCATGTTTGTATCGTCCCCAAACTTAAAAAAAAAATTAACTTCTGTGAGGAGTTTGGAATATCGTTAATAACTAACAGAAAAAGAAGAGCACAGATCCTTGTGGAACACCACAAGGGACGTTTTCCTTATCAGAAATAAACGAGTTCATCTCAGTTGTTTGAGTGCGTTCAGATAAGTTTGATGAAAACCAATTCATTTACGATGCCTCTGACTCCATAGTGGTTTAATTTGTTGAGCAGGATTGAATGGTCAACTGCATCGAAAGATTTCTTTAAGTCGATAAAAATACCACATGAAAATAGTTTATTTTCCATATTCCTTTGTCTAGAACGATATCAAGTATTGCATGTTGGGTGGAATATTTATCTCGGAAACCATACTGCAATCTATAAAGATTTTCATTATATGCATAATTACATGTTTCAACCGCAAGGAGGTTTATATTGAAGTCACCTATGATAAAGGTGGGTTTATTTAAAGCCGTAACTTTTCCAGTGTTTCATCAAAATAGTCCAAGAATTGTTGTGCGGAGTTATGTGGTTCATACACCACACCACAAATGATGTTTGGCTGCCCCAAAAGATGAAATTCGATCCATAAGGCTTGGAAAGCCTCGTTGGAAGTTTTTTCAATAATCTTACAATTCAAGTTGTCTTTGATGTACATACCAACATCTCCAGAAGCTAAAGGTGTTGGAACGTATTCAAATTTATAGCCAGGAAAAAAGCTGTTAAAGTTTACAGAGGCAGCTGTACTTATTTAAGTTTCAGAAACTCCAATTACAGTAAAACTATAATTAAAATCATGTAACACATGCACCTGCAGGTTTTCAAGGTTTCGTCTTAAACTCGTTACGTTATTACGAAGCAGAAAAAAACTGCCTTTGTTGCGCAGCAGCTTATCTTTTAAGAGGTTAAAGCTATGTGGCTAGTAATAGTGGCTCTTAATTTTGTTATAAAACAAATCAGATCTGGGGTTTATACCAATTGGTATGTTTAAACAGAGCATATCTAAATCATATAAACTTGAAAGTTTATTTAAATACCGCTTGGAAGGCAAATTATTGTTTATGATGTTATCAATTTGGCCGTGGTATATAGAGCTTACTACCACAAAATGCTTCCTGGATCGTTGTTACAAACGTAGATAAACGTCTTCTCCGGTTTCTGTTATAAATTGCTTAGATAAGTCTGATCTAGGTATCTTAAAAAAAATTAAGCTCGTGGGAATATCATCCATTCCACCACTCCCTTCCCAGGAGTAACTCTGCTACCCGTAGGCCTAGGCAAGTTAAGCCAATATATCCACTTTGCAATACTGAGCGTTTTAAAAATTATTTTATTAATAGGCTTAGTTTTAAGCATAACTTAGATGTAAGTAATTAATATATATTTTAGCCCATTACACTTTATTTAACAATTGGTTCATGCTTTAGCGTGCACTATCGAGTTATGGAGCACGCGGGAAGTTTGGAGAGCAC